TTTAGGTGGAGGAGGCCTCTCTTTATTTGTTTTCTAGAATCACGTTCTTGACCTTTATCAGCATGAGGAATTATTTTTTAATTCAAAACACCTCATTCATGCTTAGTTCTGAGATATATGTTCCATCACAGCCTGTGCCGTTGTGGTCAGTGAATCAGCTACAAACCAGGAAAACGATGCTTCCATTTCCTGAGTAGGCACAAATAACCAAGTGGAAATTGGACATTTCGAGTTGGAGTGTTCAGTTTGAGGCATATTTGTTGCTTATTCAGTCTGTCATTCGTGTGAGCTGTGCATTTAATGCACGACTCCACAACTCCACCAGCACACACGGCTGTGCTCTGGAAAATCCCTGGGGAGCACGACGGTCTGAACACTGCTGAGCTGGGAGCAGAAAACAAATAAATCTGCTTTAGGTGCTTTGTGTCTGCTCCTGGCTGCTTCTCATATGGTGAGGGACAACGAGGGCTGCTCTGCACGCCTGACCACATCCAGGAGCTCTGGCACTCAGAAGCCATTAGGGCGGTAATTTCTTATTGAGCAACGGGATTACTTTATGTCCGGGCAAAATTTTTGATCTATAGTGGTAAGAGATTTTACCACCACCCTGCAGCCGGGTTCATTCATCACAGAAAGCAGCACAGTGTCACTCTGTGCAAAAAAAAAAAAAAAAAATCTATAGAGTATCCTGCATCCTGAGTGTTCTGTGCAGCTAGCTCTGCAGCTCACAAAGGATGCACCTGGCTGGGAAAAGGTACATGAAGGCTACAGAGCTATGGGGCTGCTCATGTCAGAGGGATGACTGCAACTTAATCTGGAAAAATGACAGCCAAAAAGGCTTGATAGATGCCGATTAAATCATGTCAGACATGGGGGAAGCGGACAGGGATGGCCAGTAGTCAACAGGCAATTTGTCTCATCCAGTACAAGATGCCCAGGGCATAAAATGAGGCTAAAATGAGGCTAAATTTGGCAGCTCAAATCATCAGAAGCTGGGTTTTTTATTTTTTTCCCCACAAGCTGTATTTAAGCTGTGGAGTTTATTGCCATAAGATGCTGTAATCTGCTAAAAGTGTGCCTAGGTCTTAAAAAGTCACTGGCTGTGTTCATGGAAGAAAAAAAAACCCATTGAGGGTTATTAAAAGCAAGACATCATGTCTAGGTCAGAAAACCCATAAGCAGTAAATCATTAGTAGCTAAAACAATATTCTGGGAACATATCTCTAATTGCTGGTGTGCTTTCACAAAGGATCTGATTTCTCCTGTTACTGGGAACTGGTTACTGGTACAGGTGAAATTTTGGTCTGACCTGGCCCAGCTTTTCTGGTGGTTTTGCTGCTTTTTTTTTTTTTTTTCCCACGCCACAAAAGCCATAATTCTGCTGGTTCCCTGAGCCTTGTCAGCTCACCTAAAACCAGAGCAAACTGTGCAGGGTAGGGCATGAAAACAATGCCCTTCCTCCCCTGCCTCCCAGCTCTGCCAGCTGCTCCAAGGAACTGCAGAGCCAGGTGATTCAGCCTCACAGGAATTTGCTGGGAATGAGGGGAATACTGAGAGAACAGCTCTGCTGGGCATGGCTAAAAACGCTTTTGGATGCTGGTGGTGCTGTACTTTGTGTTTGGGGCCAAGACCTTTAGCAAGGAGAGGGATTCACTCAGGAAAGCCCTGACAATCAGGGTGCTGCAGGTCACCAGAACGGGGGAATACAGCTGCAGTCATCAAAATCAACTGACTGCCTTTATTTCTGTGGATCCACAAGGCACGTCCTGAAATTGTACTAAATCTATTTCTAATGAGCGTTTTCAAAATAACCAGAGGCAGAAATTTCCGCCACAAAACTCTTCAGCATATTATTTGTGTGAATTAAAATACTTCTAAAAAGGTATTCTTGGGGATTAATTTCCCAGTTGTTTTCTTCAGTGGACTAAGCATGGCATTAAATTACAGGGAAGCTCAACTATTATCTCATACTTTTCTCTTTTTTTTATTATAGACTTTTTATCCACATGAATGATAAAGAAACTACAACAGAGTTAAATACCTTTTTTGATAACAGTGATTATATTCTTAATTACACTCAATATTAAATTGTAAAATATTTCCAGAGGAGTACAATCGTAATTCATACAGCAGGCAAAATACCAGAGAGGGAAAGGGATGAGGGAGAGGGGTGTGAGAATCTCCAGACTGCTTTTAAAAAGCACTGTGTATGGCTAACGCTGCTCTATCCATCCATCCATCCGTCCACCCGTCCATCCAAACGTGGTTCTGGCCCATCTGGTGAGACGTTCATTTCCTTCCATAAAACAATCACTACTCCAAAGCAAAAGGTGAACTGGCAGATGTTGTCAGTGTCTGTGGCATTGAAAGGACCAGCAGTTCCTTTCACAGCTTATCTGCACGATTCAAAAGCATTTTTTTTTTCTATCAAGCTCAATAGTCCTTCTAAAAACACAAAGACTTAAACTTTGGTACCACCAAAAAAAAAAAAAAATATCAAGGACAGGCATTTTTTTTGTTGTTTTGAGTTTACTAATAAATGGCTGCTACATTCTATTTGACATGGTTGTCCATGATACTATGAGGTCACTTGTCCTTAGGTTCAGAGGAACCTGATTTTTTTTTTTTTATTTAGATCCCCAAACACTTCCATTTCACAGTCTATATACAAGTCAGGTTTCTGACTGGGTTATAACTTATAAGGTAACAGCTGCAAAAGCTCCTGTGCTTCTGGGAATGAAAAAAAAAAAAAAAAAAAAGAAAAAGAAAAAGAGAGAGGGAGAAAAAGAGAAAGTGTTATCAACATTAAGCCAAAGTTTGAGACAGTCACAGAATTATGACATTTATTTACAACCCTTGAGAAAGGGACACACATAGGCCACCTGCTCTACAGCATCCCCTGAGGCTCTGATAGTGAGTGTCTGTGGGGTCATAGGGAAATAAATATTCACAATAAAGATGAAGTGCAAACTTCCACTGCAGCGAGATTAGACGCCGCCAGATCTGGTGTGGGAAGGAGCACAGCAAGGGTGTCTGAGGGGGCACAGGGCAGGAACTGAGGGGCTGCTCTGCAAAACAGAAAATCTCCAGCCCCTGGGAGCGCTGCGTGGGCAGGGATGTGCGAACACCTTTCCTGCTTGAGGAGACTTTTCCTCCTCGGCGCATCAAGGACACGAAAATGCTTCCGAACAACAGAGTGCTCCGCCTGGCTGGTTCAGCTGATCACTTAAGTAACAACTGATCTTCCCGAAGCTCCGGGGCTGCTCGGAGCCATCCCCGGTGTGTGCCGCTGGAAGCCGGAGCGGCGTGCGGAGCGCACCCACCCTTCTCCCTCTCGCCAAACGGGCCCGGAATGCTCGCCGCTGGGATGCCAGCACCCTCCTCGCAGGGACCGGGTGCTGATGGAGGCCCGGTGATGGGAGCAAGCTGTTCCTCTCCTCCCGTGCTGCCATCCTCAGGCAGGCTTTTATTATCGTGAGTCGAGCGCTGCAGGCAAGGCGCTGGGGGCAGGACCTGCTGCTCCTCATCTGGGGAGGCGTGCTGTTTTACTCAGGGTATTAATGCCGCTGGATTTGTTTTAAATCAGCGCCCAGATTGCTGTAGACTCGGTTGGAAAACTCTGGCAGTCAGTAAGGAAGCGTGCACAAGAGGGCAAAAGAGAACCAGCTCGGTGCTTAGAATAATCTCCTTATCTCAGCGGGCAGAGCACAGGGACACAGATAGTGGTTATCCGGTTACTCTGCACTGCTCTAATTTATTACTCTGTTACTCTGGTTACTCTTTATTTTTAAGAATCTGCTTCTCCTACAGCTCAGGCAAACCTCCATCATCTCCACTATCAAGCCCTTCTCAGATGTCCCAGACTCTCTTGAACACCTCTGCTCATTACTGAATTTAATTACTGATGAAGTGCACTGCTCTGTGTGTGAGTAGCTCTTTTTTTTATAATCCCTTTACTTCTCCTCAGGGATTTTTTAATGAATCCGCAGGCCAAATTTTGTGGCATAACACAGTAGCAGGGGAACCAGCTTTTGGCATCTGTCTCCAATCCCTAATCTTCTTGTTTTACCAGGAAAAACCAAGAGAATGTCATTTAAATGCTAAGACTTCAGCATCCAAAACTGGAATCTCCCAGGCCACTGATGATGGAAGTGGTGTTTCTACTAAATGAACCCTTCTAATACACAGTCCTGAGAAATGTAGTGTTTGGTTTAGGAAGGCTCTGCACATGAGCAGCAGGATAATTTCCTTCTGTAGGACACTGAACTACAGAACCACAGTCAGTGGGGTTCAGTGAGACTCCCAAAATATGCTGATGTACTGCTTTTTCCTGGAGCAAAAAGGAGCTCCATTAAGGGAAGAAAACCTTCTTCCTACCTGGAGTGTGAACAATTTTTTGCACTCTGAATTTTTTTGCCTCTTTCCACTGAAGGTACCTTGACCTTGATGACACTTTTCAGTGTCAGGAAAAGCACATGCTCAGGCAGCTAGAGTCATGGAATGGTTTGGGTTGTAAAGGACCTGAAAGATCCCCTCATCCTACCCCTGATGTGGACAGGACACCTTCCAGTGTCCCAGGCTGCTCCAAGCCCCAATGTCCAGCCTGGCCTTGGACACTTCCAGGGATCCAGGGGCAGCCACAGCTGCTCTGGGCACCCTGTGCCAGGGCCTGCCCACCCTCACAGGGAAGAATTTCTTCCTAATATTTAATTTAAAGCCACTCTCTTTCAGTTTGAAGCCATTGCCTTTTGTCCTGTCACTGCAGGACCCATGGGTCAGCTCCCAACACCACATCCCACCCCAGTGAAGCCTCATAATTAATGCCAGAAGTAATTTATCAGCTTTAGACTGTAGCACAACACCTGCACAGAGAGGGCTTTGGGATCAGAACCAGCCACATCAAACAACAGAACGATCCTCTTAATTCTCATGATGTTCCTGCAGAGGAACACAGGCAGCCAGGTCAAGTGGAATGAAATCTCTTTTTCACAAGCTCACCTTTAGCTTTTGCTGAGGTGTGCACCGAGCTTTTCTTTCCTGATCAAGCTTGCTGCATAGGGAATCTGGAATGACACAGAAACAGAGACACTGCTCAAGCCAAGGTTTGGCTAACAAAACAGCCAAGCTGGAAATCCCTGTGAGTGAAAGGTTTTGTTTTCCTTCCTGAAAACAGGGAGGAATTGTAGGAAACAACACCTTACATACAAAGGCTCAACTCTTTATGAAACCATAGGGAGGTTGAAGCAGAAATAAAATAAAAATGGTCAGAATTAAAACAACAGATAGAATCATAAAATTCAGTACACAATATGCATTCTGATGCTCTGTTTATATCAGAGGCTAACAAAGGGTAAAGCCACCTGTGAGGTCATAAAAAATCAGCTGTCTGTGACAGATCAGGCAATGCATACTGATCCCTGCACAGCCAAAAAGCAGCAGGTTGGGAGCCTGAGACTTCGTGTATTTATATCCCCGTAATTAGGAAGTTCATAATAGTTATTTCCAACTTGCACCAATCTGAAGGGAAGCCACTGAAGTGGAACAAATAATTAAAGAAAAACAGAGAACATGGGCATATTAGGGAACACAGTTATATTTAGAAACAAAGTGGGATGATGTGCTCATTGGCCACTGGGAATACATTACAGGGCTGCTCTTCTTCAGTGCTGGGCCTTTAGAATGCAACAAAACTAAATTGCTCTGAGATTCCCCCATAGCTGGGAATCCAAATTCTTTGATGATGACTTTTGGAGGGACTGCTGGAGGAATTCGGGCTAGGAGATCAAAAAATTCTGTGTCCCTGCACTCCTAGGTGCTGTTGCATGCTGAGCTGACCTGCTTCTGCTGCCAGGCACTCCAGAATATGCTCACAAATAATGCCAAACATGTTACTGCAAGCTGACAATTATGTCAGCAGAAGTCAGAATCAAGGCCTTTACCTGCACAAACAGCAGCAGGAATAGATGGGTAAATGCAGAGAGTTCAAGCAACCTGCCCCACACACCTGGACACAGTGAATTTGCATCCATATCCACTGACTCCACATGTTCCTGTTCGTCCCTGTTTTGATTTTAAATACATGATGCCCACAGAGGATATTTATGTGAGTTGTGCCCAGCATGCCTCTGGGCTGGGGTAAAGACATTGAGAGACTTATCCATCCCTGCCTACTTTAATAAGGAAAAGAGGAGGGAAGGATCATGATGAGAGGAAATGAGAGGGGTTTAGAAGCTGGAGAGCTAGCCCTGTCATTTCTTGGGAAAGGATGTCAATCTGACTGAAAGCAGCAGCACCAGGATGGAGCAATGTCTGTGTCTGAATGAGAACAGAAGCCTTTCACAGTGGCACGCTGCTTTCCCCCCTACCCAGTCCTGGAAAAGGGGAAATGTGTGTGCACAAACCCCTGAATGACCAGAAAAGATCAAGATTCCAGGTGTTTCATTTGACTGCTCTTATAATCCCTTCCCTTGGCAGAAGATAATAGGCACCAGGAAGTTTGTGGCCAGACCCGCCCCCCCCCCACCCAAAAAACAGAGGCAAACACATCTGCCTTCAGGACATGGCACTTGCAAAGGCTGCAGAGCTCCCTCCCGTGCTGCAGCAGAGAGGGGGGTGCAGAGAATCTGCTTCCCTGATCACCAGGGGCCAGGGTTTGGATGCAAAAGGGAGCCACAAACAAGCTGCCCGAAAAAATCAGCACATTCCAGCTGGGACCTGTGGTGCCTCACCAGCTGATTCCTGCCTCTCTCCCACTCACTAAGGCCAACTTGGGTTTGCATGGCCACGAATTATATAGGACATCTCCCAAGCTGTACTGACCTAGATAATACAACGGGGTACATTCTGTCAGAAATTAACTGTTCTTAATCCACTTCTCCGCTATATTTGGCACACCAGTGTCTTTCTAATGTGTTTTGTTTTCTACCTGATCTCCTGGTAACAGATGACAGTGGGAGAGGTGGGTGCTCAGCAGGGAAATGACTACTTTCTCCATGAGTTAAATCACCTGCAATGGCATCATCTATTCCTCTCGTTGTCAGAGCATTCAAAAACTCTGATGCTGTGGTGGGATAGGATTTAGGGCTCTTCATGACAAAATAATCCCTCTCTGTGCATCCATGGGGGTTGCTGTGATGAGGGCAGGATCAGTACTAAAAAGGCTGTGGAGATGCAAAGGGTGGCCCTCTTCAAAGGGTGTAGAGAAATAATAAAAGTGCAGCTTGGTTTTAGCAGCCAAAACCAGTTTCTCATGACCAAGTCCACATTAATAGGAAATACAATGAGAGTAGACCTGAGGAGAAACTCCAGCAAAATGCAATATGGACACTGAGTCCTTTTTCCTACAGGCTGACTCCAGTCTAGTCCTGGTACCCATTAGGACCTGGAGCCCAGTTCTGTGTGCATTCCCCATATATTCCACCTGGAAGGAACCCAGCCAGCAAGCCTTGAGCATGCTCCTCGACTCAAACCAAAGCACAGATAATGGATAGCACTGGGGAGTCATTTCTGAAGTTCCTGTCTGATCCCTATTATACACCCTCAGATATCAAAGAAGTTTCAGCACACCATCCTCTTTCAGAGGTTTCACCTCTGCATCCCATCTCTGGTGAGGTACACAATGATACATCACCCTGCCTTCTGTTGCCTAAAAAAAAATATTTTGCATTCATGCAGTAGCAGAGGCTGGCTTGTGGCTTCCTGTACACCCACACCCATTTTTGATCAGAATTTCTGCAGATTCTAAAGGAAAGGAGGCTTACTGCCTAAATTTCTACAAGGCATTCTTTTCTTTAACATTTTAATTTACCAGAGAAAGAGGTACAGCTCCATCCTATCAACTTAAGGCATATCCACATGTACTGTCAAGATACAAGTTTTGCTCACCTGTCTTGGGGGGGGGAAGAAAAAAAAAGCCAACAGCAGGAAATAAAATTCTGGTGAAAACAGCTCACTTTCTTGTACACAATCAGGGATGAGCCTTTTGAGGACATAGGACACAGCGTTCCAGAAAAGTCCTTTCACCTGTCATTATGTGTGTGCCTGTGAGCAGCCACTTCAGCACAAGATGCCACTCAAGAAATCCGAGAGCCATTCTGAGGAACGGCTGTTTGCATTCTCCCCAAGGTCAGTCCTCTGAGCTGCACCACTTCAGGCCGAGCACAGAAATTACAAATGGCACTGCAGCATTGCTATTTCCCATTCCCTGTTTCTGAGAACAGAGACAGGCACACGGAGACCGAGATCTCCACACACAGAAATGTGGGCGATTCTTGTTTGGATAATGAATATGTTCGTTGTACAAAAGCACCAGCTTTCCATAAGTAAAGTAGGAATTAGAACTACTGGTGCTGTTCTGAATTACAGAGCGACCCAGAGGAACAGGCTGTCATGCCTCTGAAGATTTACCAACGTTAACAACATGCTAGATTATTTTTTCTTCTTCTTTTAAACATTCTTTCTCAATCTTTAAGGATCAGGGTAAAAGATGATGCAGAGATGGAAATCAGTTTTGCAGAGAGATAGTTCCTGATTTATTTTATTGCCTGACTCTGAAGAACAGAGTTGATTTAAAGGAGCACTGAGAGCAGAAAGCCATAAAACACAGAGGAGTTCCAGATGGATCCAGTTCTGAGCTCTAAACATTATTATCAGCCGAAAGTGAGGCTGGTAAGGAGGAAGTTCACGGGAGCATAACCTAATTAAAATATCCCAAACAAAACCAAACCATCATTTTTCACCTAATCTGGAAAGACAAAGGCCTGCCTGAGTGTTTCACATTTCTAACACACCTCAAAAACCTGTCACCTTCTACCCCAATGTAAAATTAGTGGGATTGATCATCACCCAATGATCTAAACCACAATGGGTGATGAACACCTGAACTTTTCCTGACTGAGGTCAACACTTCCTGAGAACCCACAAACTACTCGTAAGGCACCTCTGAGAGAAAATTAACAAAAGCTCCTCAGTTTGCAGGAGGTTTAAATTTCCTGCTTGGTGTCCTACCTCCCCATGGCCATGTTTGAGAAATGTTCATGAAAACATTAAAGAATGAAAATCATCATGCTGGCAGTGCTGCTTCTGATCTTTTTCTCTCACCGGGCAGCTAGGAAGGAAGTTCATGGTTTTAAAATTTGTTCTACTAACACAGTTGCTTAGAAGACAATATCAGACAGATGCAGAGTCTCAGGCAGGAGGTGACTTGATACTTGCTTACAGTGCTGGGCTGTCCCAGCAGGTGAGTTCTGGTCTCCTTGGGCAGAAACCAAAAACTCTAAAGGCAGGTGAGCTCTTCTAAGACCATACCATTTGTGTCATGTCAGAATTCCCCCCATCCTGCTGGGTAGCAGATCTTCCTCACTGGCCCTTTCTGTATGACTCAGTAAAAAAAGACAGATAATCCTCAGAATCTTTTAGATTCAAAAAGATCTCGAAGATCATTGAGTCCAGCCATTGCCCCAGCACTAACCCCTGTCCCCAAGTGCCACATCCATACAGCCACATCCATAAACCCCTCCAGGGATTGGGACTCCCCCTCTGCCCTGAACAGCTGATCTCAGTGCTTGACAGTGAAGAAATTTTTCCTAATATCCAGTTTAAATCCCTGGCACAACATCCACATGCAAAATCCATATTTTATATATGATCTTCATGTACATGGCCTGTACTCAGCTATTTTGGGAGACAGTGCTTTGCAAGAGCAGGAACAGAAAAATGAATTCAGGGGTCTAAGATCCATTTTCTTGTTAAATATAATGACTAGTTTTTTCTTAGCACTCGGCCCAGAACCTGGCACAAACAAGTCGTACAATTTCCTGGTGGCTGCTTCAGACACTCTGAAAACTCTGAAAACTGAAAGTTCCACCTGGACATCAGGAAGAAATTCCTTACTGGAACAGTCTGCATGGAGAGGCTGTGGAGCCTTCCTCACTGCAGGTGTTCAAAACCTGCCTGGAAAACCGCTCTGAACAATGTGCTCTGGGGGACTCTGCTCCAGCAGAAAGGTTGGAATGGATGCCAGTGGCCACTTTCAGCCTTACTCATTCTGAGATTCTCATCAAACCTCACGGCCACGCAACACCTGCCTGCAAAGAACCCCCCACGCACCAGCGAGGATGTAACAGAACAGGACACACCCCGTTTCCCCAGTGACCTGAGCCATACTCCCGCCTTTCAGGCAGCCATAAAACATTATTGTTTTTGAATTATTTCTGAATTGCGGCGCGGGCACAGCGGCAGCAGCACTGATTGAGCCCAACTTTAAGCTCGGCTTTGAGCGCGGGGCTCTGCAGTGGCGGCCGGCGGCCGGCAGAGGGCACCCGCGGGCCGCGCTGCGGCGGCGCGCTCCCAAATCCGGGAAGAATCTCCCCCAAAAAAGCCCAAAAACGGGACAAAAAGCCTCATGGCTAGTGATCACCACCGCCCGCGCACAGGGCACAGGTTTCACGCCAGGCTGCAGCGAGTGTTGGCGCCGGAAAGTTTTCAAACGCAATCATATTTGGTTGATATTTTCTTTTTTCGTGTTTATGTTCAGCTTGTATCTCAGACATTTCCGATACAGCAAACACGCTGGGTCAATTTATTTCAAAGTTTGATTATTCAGATTATTCAGGGTGGGTGAAATGATCATTCTGGCAAAACCTGCCTCTGGTACCCACAGTTACAGGGGATCAGGGAACAACAGAATCATTTAGGTTGGAAGAGCCCTCCAAGATATTCAAATCCAGCTGTTTCCCCCGCACTGCCCAGCCCACATTAACCCATGTCCTCAAGTGCCACATCCACACGGCTCTTAAATCTTTCCAGGGATATTCAGGAAGGACTAATTTAAGTTGTATATCTTCAGCAGTGAGAAGAGCCAAAAAAAACCCTGACAACCATCTATGTTGTTTATAAAATAATTTTTTAAAGCAATTAAGCCAAGTTTTGTGGCTAGTTACATCAGTAAATTTTGAGTTTAGTCCTACAAAGGCATACACCTATGAAGGTCTAAGTAAAACTGTGATTTCAGTATGTATGAAATGCTCCTGCTTTTCTCTCTGTACTTCTATGTTAACAAGAAAATTAGGTTAAAGCCCTATTAAAGTAGTAGTGCAGCATCTCAGGTACAAAAAAAAGCCTAACTGCCCCAGTTAAAAGCATAACAACAACAGCAATTAAACAAAAAATCAAAAGCAGCCATGCTTTTTGTTTATTCTGCACCAATTCATCCATGCAATAACCCTGGAAGGCCGAAGTAGTTCTCTCATTACCACATTCAGTTCATTAATCTTAATTCTGGATATAAACATACAAGATATATTCCCATGAATGAATTAAAGCAACTGCTGTGATTATCACCTCCAAAGTGCTGACTCCATTTCGGTTATCAGCCAAGACATCTCTGAAGATTTCTGCACACATCTTGCACAAACACACTCCTTATTTGCAGCAGTCTCTCAGTTTTTCATACAAACATCTTTTTATCAGTCTCACTGATCACAATCTGACCCACAAATACGAGCATGAAGACTTACTGGTGATCTGACAATTCTATTAGTAATAATTAAACTCGGGCATCAGTAGTGAGTGAAGAGGTCCTGAGTTGTTGCTGCAGCACATTAAATGTTGAAACTATTATTTTTAAGTACATTCAGACTGCTCTGTTTAATGTTTAAATTATTCTTAACCTGTCCGGAGCACACATCAGTAAGTAAAAAAGAGTATGAATTACTTGATCATATTTCTTTTCCTGCCCAAGAAAATCAGGAAAACCACTACAGCTGGCTTGCTGGAACTCTGGGATACTCAGTTCCAGAAACAATTTCACAACTGGACCACAGGGAGAATGGCAGAGGTGATCCATTCTCTCCCTGGGAGGCAGAGTTAACTCCAAGTTCAGCTGACACAAGAGATAAAACACTGGGGTGGGCCCGTACAATTTTTTCTTAGCAGGAAATTTAACTGGTCACCTGCCTCAAGTCCAAAACATCAGGGGAAGTGCTTTCAGGGTGGCATCCTAATTAGAATTTTCTGTGACAACAAAATTCACAGGTCAAGTCAAACTTCCTGCCTGGCATCGGGACACAAAGGGGAGCACAGTAACAACTGGGCACATTAAAGGAAAGGAGTGGAGACTAGCTGCAAGAAAACACCCAGGGATGTTCTGAATTTCTGAGTTTTCTCCACAAACAACCTCTTTCCAACACCCTCCATCTCTCCTTGAAATCTCTGAAGTCAGCAGGAGCGGGGCGCGTGGATGTTCGGCAGCTCTAAAAATAAGGCCAGCCCTAAATGCCTCTAAACATCGGAGCACAAGTTTGACAACCCTGGCCTTCAGCTTTACTTTTATGTCCTAACCCATCAATTAGAAAATGACAGCATACCAGGAGCCTGGCCAATGCCTTCTCTGCACCAGGGCCCTGTGACAAGCAGAAGGAAAATTTCAATGGGGGAGCACGGGGCTGATTTGGGGAAGGGGGGATATTTGCCAAGCTTGCCTCGAAAACAAGACCCTGTTGAGCAATGTCAGACTGATCACAGAGAAAGCACCAGCAAAGCAAGCACCAGCTGACAGCCTCACCATGCCCTGCTCTTGAAACCTCACTAAGCATTATTTGAGTGTGGAACAGCTTCCCATGCTCCAGCCCCTTTGCTTGCACCGGACTAAGAACGTCAACTTTTCAAAACAACACAGTTGAATGTGGTGATCTAGAGCTGCACTATAGCACACAGGCAAAATCCCTCTTGGTTTTAAAATAACAAGCAAGAGACCCAACAGTAACGTGTGCCTGCACTAAACTGTGTTTTGGCAACTTGATCCTTCACTGCTGAGTTAAGCACTTCTTCTAGTGTCTGAAATGAGAAAAAGACACATCCTAAGGTTTATTTTCTGGTGAGAAGCAGGGATTGAGCAGATTCCCTACCGAGGGCTGAAATGCACCTCTTGGCAACTCACACGAGGTAGAAACATTTAACTGCTTAAGGTTTACTGATTCACACCTCCCTGCTCCTCTCTGCAGAAGCACCTCTCCGTGTTGAGTCAACACATTTTGCTTGGGTGAAACGTGAAGACCCATCTGGTTACTGTATGAAAGTAAATCTCCAGGTAATTAGGCTCCAAACCAGCTGAGAACTGCGTGTTTACCTCTTGCTAAATATAAGGCAGTAGGAGCTCAGTAAATGTGCATCTGCATGGCTCACAAAGGAAAAATGTGAGGTGTGCGCTTAAAAAACACAAAGCAGCAGCTCAAGAAATTATTTATCAGAGAAAGTAAACTTACGATTTGTAGCTGCTGCACCATTTCTTCTCTGTACGCCAGTTCCCGCTTCATCTGATCTTGAAAATTATCTGTATGAGAGGGGAAAAAATGCGGGTGCAATAATTAAAACAGAGATCACATGGCAGAATTGACATAAATCAAGCTAAATCAAACCCAGCCACTACTGAGGAACCACAAAGCATTGTGAAAGTCCTTCACTCAGTTAAAACATATGCCTAACCAATATGTATCTGATAGGAGACACCACTGACAACAGAAAAAAATGTGGAAAAATGAGATTTCACCGCTTCCCCCATCAGAAAATATAGGACGTGAAGTTTGTGTCGCTAGCATTTATTCCCAGCTATTTTCCTGCTCTGCAGTCATTACTCAAACTTTTGCAAGCCCCGAAGAGAAGAGCAAAAACTGCTCTTCTTTGCTTTGGCATAAATCTGTTGCCATCAATGGCGATGTCCAACATGTGAGAGGAGAGAAAGCGTTCAAGGATGCAGGGTTTGATTTGTGGCTTGTAGCATTGTGCTGACGGCTTTGAACAAAACTGAAGCTCCATAAGGAGTGACGTGGAATTTGGAAATGAAAAAGTCTTTGAAAGAGAGAGATCCTGGGCAGCTGGGCTAGCACAGGTCAGCCTTCCTGCTCCAGTAGATCCTCCTTCCCAGATTTTCCTCCTAAATAACCATTTCAGACAGAACTTCATTTGTTAGAAGATTAACTGGTGCTTTGTGTTCCATAATATTCCTATTGGTGGGTGGGAAAAAGAGAAATATAAACAAAACTATTGAAAAAGAACCAAATAACTCGAAGAGCTGCCTGTTGGAGGTCAGGGTGCAAGGATGGGCTGTTAAATGGAAGAGGAATGAAAACCCATCCTAACCACCATCATTTTGGTTCAAGCCACAAGCCTGTCCTGGAAGAAGGAACAAGGCGGCTCTGTCCCCCTCTCAAAAAAGAACTTTGTCCTCTCTGAACGATGAGCTAAAGTTGTTGTTTAAAAGAAAAGGAGGAAGGAAAAGAGCAATGAAACAGGGAAGGAGTGAGAAATTTTGGCAAGATGAAGCCCTCAGGAATCCAGCACAACCACACTGAAAAGGACATGGTGGCATTATCTCAATGAAGTTCTTCAGATTTCCAGTAAATTCACGCAGAACTTTTAAGCCTATTCCTTCTACTCTGACTAGATCAGAAAAATAAGCCGACAAAAATAAGGCAGATTTACAATTCCTATTTTCCTAGCCCGCCCAAAAAACCATGCAGTATAAAAAGGTAGCTGCTTCCCATCCTGGTCACTAAAGGCTGATAGTTACAACTGAGGTTCTCCAGCTTCACTCTGAGTTGGCTTTGAGGAGAAATTTTCCTTTTTCTTCCTCAACGCTTTTCTCCCAGCTGCCTGTTCATGGGCTCATCACCTCTCCACACAAACAGCCCAGGGATTTTGTTCAGCCCGGCAAATGTCCGAGCTCACGGTGGAAATGGGGTGTTAATGGTAGGGACAGCGTTTTTTTTTCCAGTGGCATTTATCTGAGTCCAAACGCTCACAGACAAAGCCATAAGCAGTACCCAGGAGAAAAGATATGAATATTTAAATAGCTTTCTTAACACAAAATTAAATACTTTAAGTACCCAGACTGCGTCTCTACCATTTTATTGCCACATTGTTTAAAATGCAGACGGACAGAACGCAGAGCCGACACGGAGGGTACAAACCAGAGCACGGCTCCAGAAGAACACAATTCTCCTGGAAGAATTGAGAATTCCTGGAAGAATGAAGAAGCAATTACTTTGACTTTCTTCATATGATCTGATCTTTAATTTTTTTTTCTTTTAATTTTACTATTTTATTTGAGTGATCTCTGCGTTGGGAGATCTTAAAGGCAAAGGAAAATTTCACCTGCAGCTTTCAAGCACAACAGCAATGTGAAAAATACAGCAGAAGACAAGGTCTTGCTGCTTTATAAATTACCACAGCCCGTGTTTCAAGCAGGCACAGAGAAGACTGCAGCACAGCACTGCTAAGAGAGCTTTAACAGTGACTTACACGAGAGGAGAGCTCTGAAACCAAGCACCATTTAATGTACAGCCCTGTTATGAGTAGTCCCTTGATGCTATGAAGGTAACACCCCAGGTGTGCTCAGTTCCAAGTGGAGGACCCAAAATAGGTGACTGTAGAGGTAACTGCAGGTGACCTGACAGAAGTTTTTCCAAAGAGGAATAGTATTGCCTTCCACATCTGGCATGTTGCCTCCCAGCTGAAACAGGGACGAGTTTTCAATACGATTTGAATTTTGCCTCAACTTTCATTTAGTTGGATCTGCAAAGACTTCTCTCCCTGACTCCTCCCTGCACAAGACCACCAGTACCATTCTAATACCTGACCTAAAGCAAGACCCTGGTCCAGCAGCAAGAGCCTGGAACAGCCCCCCTCTCTTGCTAGAGCACACACTGCACTGAGGAAAAAACACCCTTAACATGGATTTACGCTAATTTGCTTTACAAAGACCCTTTTTTCTTGTTTTATTACATGCGGAGGAGGGGTGGGTTTTTTTGGTAAATCTAAATCTGTAAATAGGCTTTACGGTCACTTGTAGGTATGGTTTATAGCACATTATCTGTTTTCTATTTTAATCCTGAAGAAAATTGACCACTACTTTGTGGTACATTGAAACCACATATTTTTCAAGCCAGCATACAGCAGTCACCACTTCCTTGGTCGGCCGTACTTGTTCTTTTCTTTTATTTGAATTGTATTTCATGTGGTTTAATTGCAGTGTTTATTTACATGGCAAAGACAGAGCATTAATTTTACTGCAGAAGAACAAAAGGATAAATAAGAGACTTGAATGGCAAAAGTCCAAGATGCCATTTTGCCAATACCACACAGCAGCGTTTTGATCTCCACGAATTATTTGAAAATTACCTCACTCCCAAACCCAAGTAATGACTGGATTTATTCTGAAGGATGAGGTTATGCTCCTTTCATTAATATCTGTATCACGTCAAGTGACTCTTCTTTATTTATGGAGCTGTCTACATATTTCAATATTTGGGCTAAAGATGGAGTAATTCCCAGAGTCCTCACACTTCCTTGCTTCCCTGAACTTACCTACCTAATGCTACAGAAAGGGGACAAGCACATTTTCCTTGAACAATAGAAAATTACTGTCTGTGTTCCCACCTTTTCCAGTGGGATCATCCTGACCTAGGTGGGATTTCTCCTGGAAGAATCTTTCCACCGTTGCTGCAGTGTCATTGAGAGATCCCAGACAAGGGGTCTTTTTCCACATTCCTGTGCAATCAGCCCAGCCTTCTGGCAGCTTCACAAAAACCCTGCTAAGTGCCCATTTCGTTTAATTTGAGATGTGCCCTGCACATTCTGTCACCCTGGGCAGCAGCACGTGGTGAAAGGACGATCTCAAATGGCCTCTCCCAATGGGAAAATCCCAAACAGGAATTTCTACTCCTTGAAAAGGCCTGATCAATTCTCCAGCATCAGCTGGAACCTCCAGAAAACGAGGATTGAGTATCTTTTCTCCAAAAGCCCCTGAGGTGCTGGCTGAGACACCAACCTCACCCCACCCCAGGAGGTTTCTGGCTACTCACTGCATCCAATGCTATCAGAACTAGTAGAATGTACAACAAAACAAACACCCAGCTTTGTGTTTTCCCTACAAAAGACCTGCTTGGGCAGCTGAAAACCCACAGCAGAAGTGTCAGCGTGGAATCACTGAATGGTTTGGGTTGGAAGAGACCTTAAAAAATCACCTAATTCCAAACCTGGGGGCACCTCCCACTATCCCAACTTGCTCCAAGCTCTGCCCAACCTGGTCTCAGCAGAACTAAGCTCAAGATCACAGCTGAGAACCTTTCCCGTTTTATCAGCCTGGCAACAACCAACACAGCACATACACACACAGCACCAAAACCACAGATTTTGTGTCTTACTGAAGACTGGGAACGACGCGTTTCCTTTCAACACCTGGAATTCCTGTTCCAGCCTCCTCCGTAGGTCAATCTGCTCAAACAGAACCTTCTGGAGTTCCTCTAACAAAGAGAAAAAGTGGTTTTGATAATCTGTATAAATAATTCTTGAAAGAACAGTTGCAGAGCAATTCATTACTCTAAGACAAAATATTTTAGCGCTTATTAAAAAAAAAAAAAAGTGTTGCATAGACCTACCATAGATTTTGTGCAGAAAGCCATGAATATAAATCAATGTAATATATTATTTTAAAGTATTATATTACAGTGTCATGTATTGATTGATATATATGCATTAATCTCAATTATATCCACCCAAAGGTCCATATATTATTCATATGTTACTTGACAAGCTTAAAATATGGTGCAGAACAAAAGTGCCCCCTATTATCCTCATATTCTATTAAAACAAAGAGCAGTTTTATAATGTAAGAGGCCCTTATTTATTTTACCTTTCCCCATATTTTCCACATCCTTCTTCAGAGAATGAGGTGAATTGGTTTCTTGTGTGTGTTCTCCTTAAAAAAGAGAAAGAAAAAAAGTTACTGATTTACTGATAGTGCTTTCTGTCAGTGTTGTCCTTACTACACATCCGCTTGAGAGAATCTGGAGAGGAAAAAAAAGGGGTAAAAAAATATAAAAAAAGAGTAAATCGAGTTTTATCTGCAAATTTCTGGGTGCATAGCACAAATATTTGTGAAATGATATTTTCTCTAGTTCAGTGAAGTATCTGCCTACAGCAGGGCCTCTTGCACCCAGTAGCTGATGTCTCCTTGATACTCTTCTTGCTGAGCTGATTCCTCCTTCCCCTCTAACCCCCCTTGAAGATACTCTTATCAAGAGAATAACTGGGAGCAGGCAGAGAAAAGGGAAGATATTTCCCATCTCTTCTCCTCTCAACGGGAAGCCCTTGCTCTCCATCTGGGCAGGACCCTGTTCCAAAGTCCACAGGAAAAATGCCTTTTTGCCTTCATCAGCTCTTCAGCTTTATCATCTTCCAGAGCTCCATGGCATGGGTGTGTTGCAACTGGATATAATTTATATCCAGCTGAGATAAAATTGACATTAGTGGTATTTGCATCTAAAGGATACAGCTCTGGGGTCAGACAGTTGAGGGACTCCTGTCTTAGGTTGCTCACATCAACTTTTAATCATATTACAGCACAGAATTTTCTGTGTAGCAGAATTTGGCTATTTCTAGGCACACATGTGCTGCTTCCTTCAGCCCTTTTCTGTCTGCAAATTGAATTAAATTACAAAATAAAAATAAAAATCATAAGTTGTCAAGTTCACCTGAATGACAGTTTGACTTAAAAAACTGAATCTTCTGACAAAAGGTGTTCCTTCTATTATCCTCTGCAACTGCAAAATTTTTCCTGTGACTTCTATGAATTGCTTCTATAAAACCTATGAAAAACTTCTTTTTTTAAAGAATAAAATACCACTTTAGCTGAAATTGATGGGAGATTTTCTGTTATTTACAGCTGAAGTAGAAATGGACTCTCCATAATTAAGAAAATATTTGGTAAATAACCAATTATTGAACTAATTGGATTAATTCTTGTTTGAGTCCACCCAGTAAATTCACATCATTAACCCTACTGATAAGAGACATATATATATATATATTCATGTGTTTATTTAGTTGGAAGAGAGGATCATGGAAAAAAATATCCTGGGTTTTGATGTTTCATTTGGTTTTGCTCTTTTTTTAAATAAAAAACCATAGCACTGAATAGGTCATCAGACAACATACAACAGTTACTTTAAAAATTATTGTGTCATCACAATAGGTTAATTTTAAAGTTGAATTTGAAAGTCTTGTAATAGATGCAGTCAGAAATCTTTTTGCAAAACATTTGTTTGTGTTTTTAAAGATCGATGCAATCCTATATCCAGTAAAGCTTGAAGTTACAGCGTATGAAACCTGTCCAATAACTCTGCATTTTAGCATCTCCTCTCTCTTCATTCCTTAAAAAAAAGCCCAAAAGCAACCACTCATTCAAGCACATATATTTACACAACTGGTATCTGGTGCCAGCAATTCCATTTTAAAAATTTATTTATGTAACATGGTGATTTTTTAAAAAAATTAATTTTTGTGGGACATTTGGTGAAAAGAAAGTATTTTCTGTAGGTAAGTTGTCTCACCGCAGTACAAGATACAGGCTTAAAAATCAATCACATTTTGGGCAGTGGTTTGAGGAGTTTTCACAATATAAAATGGGTTTGTTGGTTTTTTTTTTTTGGCTAGCATAATTATTTTTTAAACTGGATGGCCGGAAAAACAAAGTATTTTGTCAGATAAATTAGGGTACACTAAATCAAAAGTGAGGAATTTAAGGTAAGGAAGGGTGAATTTGTTGAATTACAAATATTAGCATATTCCAAACCCATTTCTTCCACTGAGGCACCCTTTTCTGTGTGTCTTATGTGCAATTTTGAGGGATAACAGGCTCACGACAGAAGGTAACTGGAATTTTCAAGGAGAAGGAAGGGAAAGGGTATGGTGATGATACAGCTCTTTCTCACTTGCTCAGTTTAGCTCCCAGAGCTGAATGGTTTGAAGCTGCATCAAAATGAAGATAAAGGCATGTAGCATGAAGAATAACTTCCCCAGCATCTCCAGCCACACTACTAAGCCACTGAAAAGGCCTATTAGAAAATTCTCCACCTGAAATAAGCAAAAAATGGGAGTGGGAAAATGGAAGTATTTAAAGGCCAAAGACAGGATAGATGATTTTAAAGAATAATTACATTTCTAAACTGCTTTCTGGTGCTTAAAAAAAAAAAAAAACAACCAAAACCAACTTGACATTATTATTGTTAACAGCAGTAATAATCAGATGGGTTTCACCTTTCCTGTCTCCCTGAAAATGATAATCAGGAGCCTGCTCTTCTCCATTTTTCCATACTTCCCAGAGGCCTCATCACGCGTTGTGCACTCGTTCTACCTTAATTGAAAGGGAGGAGGTATTGAATATTTAACCAGCTTCCCTTCTCTTAAATGTTAATTAAAAGCTAAATAGGTGTTTAAAAACAAACAAACAGAAAGCCCAAAGAATTTTAATCAGTCTAAGAAAAAATCACTTCCCCTCCTAATAGCTCCACCATAACTCTCCTGGGCCTTGTCTGGGCACAAACTTGCAGCATTTAGAGCAGTGGGGCTGAAAGCTGTATGGACATGGGGATTTCCTTCAGGAAAGGCTATTTCAGTTTGTTCAGAAATAACAAACTCTGCCTCACCCATCTCCTGGATAGGGGGAAAGAGGGTGAAATATTTGCAGGCTGCTTAAAATGCCTCAGCGAAAGCTTTGGGTGCCTCTCTTCTTCCCCATGAGCTCAGGTGCACAGATATTGTTTATCTGAATAAAGGTAAAAATGGCTTTCTTAACCTGGAGTGTGAACACCCACCCATGAAGGAGCACCTCAGAATTGCTCAAAAATTGGAGCTGTAAAAACAGAGGAGCCAGGGCTGGACGTTGGCACAACCTCAGCTCCTGTGGTGCTGCCATTTTATCAGCTCTACTTCCGCTGGGGCACTTAGGATTTGGATTTTTGACATCTGAATTTTTAACATTTCTGAACCTATCGTCCTCAAAAGAAATGCACCTTGTCCTCACTGTAAAAAAAAAAAAAAAAATGAAAAAACAAAAACCAAGCCAGACATAGCCAGGTAACCCCTTCATGCTCTGCTACCTCCTGCAATCTTTCCTCAGGAAGCTCTCAGAACGCTTTCTGAAAAGCAACTAAAAAATTCCACGCTGTCCCAGACAACTCAACTCTGTGCTGATTTATCCAGCACAGAGCATGGATGGTCTGGGAATAGAATTCCATTCTCCTGGCTCTGTGGCCTGCACCTGGTCCCCAGCTTGTGCCCTCCACCACCCTGACCACACCGGAGGTTTCAGACCACATCGCGCAGAACCATCTCCTCTTTCTCTGTGTCCACTTCATCCCTGTAATTCCTGGACAACCCCCGTGCTTTGCAGAGCTCACCAGGTCTGCCAAAAGCTCTGCACTTCACCCCTGACACTGTGAAGCCCACGGCACTCCTGGTCCATCACAACTCAAACACCCACTGCTATCTTCAGCTGGAGAGAAGCGCTGCCTGCAGACACAAAGACCACAGCAAAAAGCTGCTGGTGTCTTCTGGACATAAATATATATATGGACATATACATTTATATCCATTTAAAAAAATATAGGCAGATGTGAACCAGCAGACTTTCAGTGCTCCAGAGGTTCCCTCTGCATCTGAAATTAATGACTCGCTCTAAGACACGCAGAGTTCTTGCGTATGTCCTGAAGAAATTCTAAACTTACTGAAAATATTCACGCATCCTGCATATTCATGCCACTTTTCAGGGGGGTAATCAATAGGGTATTCAGGACTTGGCAAAATATGCCTACTTTAGGAAACTCAATAAGCATTTTTTAAAGTGTTTTTGTGTACCAGGGCTGATAAATGTCTTCAAAAATCTGGAGTTTCAAACGGCAATTTGCCCCCAAAAGTGATTTAAATTTAAAGAAAACTAGTTCTTTTTTATGCCCAGATAAATCCTCATTTGTAACATCCATTTAAAGTTTAAAACACGAACATCTGATTAAAAACCATCTGCATTGAAGAACCAACAGATAGAGAGGAAAAAGAGTTTCAGGATTTCAAACTAAACGCTCAAAAACCTAAGCGTGACCAACCTAAAATACTGAAATGTTTAAAAAAGATAAGTAATCTGTTGGCTTTAGGTCTGAACCTTATTCATACATTTGAGAACTATTTCATAATTTTATTTTAGAAGCACAAAAGCTAGAAAATTTCAGATTCTTGGTTTGTTTTAAATGGACGGTAATATGCTCACCAGATTCCAGAAGATGAGGCTTTAAAAAATGAGCAAAACACATCTAATATTAAGAAAATTGCAAAAAATAAAGATATTTAGCAATGATTCACCCTTTTTTTAATAAATAAAAGAGTTAAGGGGTTCTTAATAATAACAGATGGGAAATGAGAGAAATAAGAGACATAAAGGGAAATAAGTCCTACAGTCCGTCTGCAGATTTGTCTGTCGTACAGATCCATGTATTTATACACAATCTTATCTATTAATGTGCATTGCTGGATCCCACATCTGAAACTTCACCTTGTCAACTTTTAACTTCTTAGAGGTTTTTTGCAAACACCTTCCATAATAAATTTTTAAGTCATTCAACTTCTGTATCCAATGCCTTCAACTTATCCCAGTTAGGACTAGACAACAGT